TCCTCCATACCTCCCTTCTCTTCTACCTCCTCCATACCTCCCTTTCTCTTCTACCTCCTCCATACCTCACCCTTCTTTTCTACCTCCTCCATACCTCCCTTTCTCTTCTACCTCCTCCATACCTCACCCTTCTTTTCTACCTCCTCCTTACCTCCCCTTCTCTTCTACCTCCTCAACCTCCCTTTCTCTTCTACCTCCTCCATACCTCCCCTTCTCTTCACCTCCCCCAAACATTCCTATCCTCTTGCACCCCCCTCACCAAGGCGCTGCCGTGATGGCAGTTTAACGAGTCGCCTCCTTGCGAACTGTGGTGGCGTCTTGCTCGTTTCGTCCTCACGCCCTGTAAAACATGAACGTGAAGACTTGTCACCAGAGCTACCCTGTGCCCCTCCGCTTCAGGCCTGACACGGCCCTCTCTCTCTCTCTCTCTCTTCCACCCGTTATTTACGGCTATTATGATCACCTGAAGATTAGACTTAGGTAGGTTAGTGTTAAGGTGATTGATCTTAAGGTGTACTAAGCCTTGGGGGAGGTTAATTTTCAGGTGATCCATAAAAAAAAGTAATGAATATATTCTTACTCGTGTTTCTTATATTGACGTGGAAAGCTAACCTAACCTAACCTAATCTAACCTAACCTAATCTAACCAAACTTAATAAAAACTTTAATTCCCTATACTGTGTCCGATAACTACATTAAATAGATAAATTTGGTGAGCTTTGATGCGGCGTGGGTGTGGCGTGGGTGTAGCATGGTGTGGTGTGGCGTGGTGTGGCGTTAGTGGCCATATGTGCAGCTGGCGTTGGCGGTGCTGAGCCACATGTGCGCCACTAAGACAACAAGGACCTCTGCTGGCGGCAATTATAAAGTCGTTAGCTCAATTAATGGCGGATTAATGTGTTTCTACAAGTTGTTTTCATCTCTTCTGTGTGACGTCACGGGACATGGGGTGGGGTATGGAGGGGATGGTAGGAGGATGGGTGACAGAGGATGAAGGACAGAAGGATATAGGGAGGAAAGGACGGAAGGAAGGAGGAGGGGCGATAAACGGAAGGGAGAGAGGAGGGAGGGCGTAGACAGAGGGAGAGCGGTTAGGGAGAGAGGCAATAGACGGAAGGAGAAGGGAAGGAGGGGCAGAACAGAGGGAGAAGAGAAGAGAGGGCGATAGACAGAGGGGAGGGGGAAGAGAGGTTTTATGGACGGAGGGGAGAGGTTTTGTGGAGAAGGGGGAGGGCGGTAGACGGAAGGAGAAGAGGGAGGGGGTGATAGACCGGTGATGGATACAAACATAAACAGAGTGACAAAAGGAAGGAGATGGAGACAAGGGATGACAGTTGACAGACGGGAACAGGTCCAGTTACTGTCATCAGTCAGACGCTCCCCACACTTCCCGACTCTCTCCAACACTCCCAGACACTCCCAGACTCTCCCCAACCTCCCAGACTCTCCCCAACACTCCCCAACACTCCCAGACACTCCCAGACTCTCCCCAACACTCCCAGACTCTCCCCAACACTCCCAGACACTCCCAGACTCTTCCCAATACTCCCAGACTCTCCCCCAACACTCCCAGACACTCCTAGACTCTCCCCAACACTCCCAGACACTCCCAGACTCTTCCCAACACTCCCAGACTCTCCCCAACCTCCCAGACACTCCCAAACTCTTCCCAACACTTCCAGACTCTCCCCAACACTCCCAGACACTCCCAACACTCCCAGACACTCCCATCCCAGCCTCCCCAACACTCTCAGGCACTTCAAACACCTCCAGACACTCCCCAACCTCCCAGGTACTCCCCAACACTCCCAGAAACTTCCAACGCTCTCCAACACTCCCAGACACTTCTCGACGCTCCCAGACACTCCCCCGACGCCCCTTGATGCTTCCCAATGATCCCCGACGTTCCTCAAGGCTCCCCGAGGCTCTGACACTCCTCGAGGCTCCCCGACCTCCCAAGTCTTACCGATACTCCCCGAGGCTCCGCTACGTTTCCCGAGAGTTTCCGAAGCTCACCAAGACTCCCCGACGCTCCGTCTTTGTCACTAATTTGGTGCTTCTGGCCTTACTGCCTCTGTTTGTAGTGACCCCCCCACCGCCACCTTACCTTGTTACATGGTGGCTGTTTTGTCTTCTCCCCTCCTCCCTCCCTCCCTCCCTCCTCTACTCCCCTTCACCCCCCACCCTTCCATCCCACCCCTTCCTTCCTCCTTCCTTTCCCCTCCTCCCTCTCCAATGAATATGATGTATTTCTTTGTGTATGAACCTCTGTCCTGCGTGGCAGTGAGAAGTGATACCACCCTCAGTGTCAAGACCTGACTGAATTACTCAGAATAGGCAAACTGTACTACAAGCTTTGCCAATAAATTTGTTACACTAACTAAACTCCATCCCTCTCTTTCCTATTAATTTTCCCCTTCCTTTCGCCCTATCCCCTCCTCCCCTTCGTACCTCTCTTTCCAACTCCGTCTCCCCTTTTCCACCTCCCTCCTCCTTCCCTCCCTCTACCTCTCCCTTCCCCCATCCTCCATCCCTCCCTCCTTCCCTTTCCCTCCTCCCTCTCTCCATCCCTCTCTTTCCCATTCCTTTCGCCCTATCCCCTCCTCCCCTTCGTTCCTCTCTTTCCACCTCCCTCTCCATTTTTCCATCTCCTTCCTCCTCCCTCTCTCCCTCCCTCACTTGTCCTTGTAGAGTTCACCGCCTGACGTAAACTTAAGAATCATCATCAGCTTGTGTGACAAGCGCTTGTAACAACCATTGGGTCGTGATGGCCAGATCTGTTAAAGAGCAGAGGGCCAGTTAGTCAGTGTGGACTAATGACCTGTTCCCCTGAGCTGTGATAAGACTCACTACTAGACACAGTTACTCCTGGGTTATATTAAGTACGAGTTTACATTTCTATCTGAGATTACTGTTAGATGTCTTTGTCTATCTATATTACTTCTGTATCTGTCTGTACTTTATCTATTTTCATTATGTACATATATATATCTATCTAGTATACAGTAGATCTGTCTTTTTTTTACACGATTAGCCCACAGGTCAATGAACCGTATCAAGACCTTGGGGCGAAAATATAATAATGATAATAATAGCAATAAAGGATCACAAATAAATTCAAGAAAAGGTCAATAGTGAGAAATGATATATGTGTGTTGTGTTGTCAGAGTAAGAGAAACAATTGAGACCCTGCTATTGTGTGTAACTGAGGCAGAGAGACAAATCAGCAACCTGGGCAGTAGTACCTCCTAGTTTGATAGCTGCCTCGTAATACTAGTTAACGGAGACAGACAAACTAAGAGAGAGAGAGAGAGAGAGAGAGAGACAGAGATCAAGGACTGGTCAAGGGTTTACCGAAGCAAACTTGTTCTAGTGACCAGCTGCGAGAAAACCTGACGGGGATGAAACTCATTACAGGGTCTCTCTCTCTCTCTCTCTTGTCATTGATTTTAACTTTAACCTTATCAATGATTACTTTCACAACCCAATTTCTAACAACAGCGTCTAATAACTTTGCTGACTTGGTTTAATTGTTGTTTTTTATATCCTGACAGTATTGTTATGACCTGAGTATCGTGTTAAGCCTTCACTCGAGTAAATTATTATTATTATTATTATTGTTATTATTATTATTTTTTTTATTATTTTATTATTATTATGTGTGTTGGCGTACCGTTAAGGAAAAATAATTACACTAATTCCAAGATATCGTGTGGATCATGATAGTGACCTGTGTGTTCGTGTGGATCATGTTAGTGACCTGTTTCTTGTGGATCATGATAGTAACCTGTGTGTTCTTGTGGATCATGATAGTAACCTGTGTGTTCTTGTGGTCATGATAGTGACCTGTGTGTTCTTGTGGATCATGATAGTGACCTGTGTTCTTGTGGATCATGATAGTGAGCTGTGTGTTCTTGTGGATCATGATAGTGAGCTGTGTGTTCTTGTGGATCATGATAGTGAGCTGTGTGTTCTTGTGGATCATTATAGTGGCCTGTGTGTTCTTGTGGATCATGATAGTGACCTGTGTGTTCTTGTGGATCATGATAGTGACCTGTGTGTTCTTGTGGATCATGTTAGTGACCTGTGTGTTCTTGTGGATCATGATAGTGAGCTGTGTGTGTGGATCATGATAGTGACCTGTGTGTTCTTGTGGATCATGATAGTGACCTGTGTGTTCTTGTGGATCATGTTAGTGAGCTGTGTGTTCTTGTGGATCATGATAGTGACCTGTGTGTTCTTGTGGATCATGATAGTGACCTGTGTGTTCTTGTGGATCATGATAGTGAGCTGTGTTCTTGTGGATCATGATAGTGACCTGTGTGTTCTTGTGGATCATGATAGTGACCTGTGTGTTCTTGTGGATCATGATAGTGACCTGTGTGTTCTTGTGGATCATGATAGTGACCTGTGTGTTCTTGTGGATCATGATAGTGACCTGTGTGTTCTTGTGGATCATGATAGTGAGCTGTGTGTTCTTGTGGATCATGATAGTGACCTGTGTGTTCTTGTGGATCATGATAGTGACCTGTGTGTTCTTGTGGATCATGATAGTGACCTGTGTGTTCTTGTGGATCATGATAGTGACCTGTGTGTTCTTGTGGATCATGATAGTGAGCTGTGTGTTCTTGTGGATCATGTTAGTGAGCTGTGTTCTTGTGGATCATGATAGTGACCTGTGTGTTCTTGTGGATCATGATAGTGACCTGTGTGTTCTTGTGGATCATGATAGTGACCTGTGTGTTCTTGTGGATCATGATAGTGACCTGTGTGTTCTTGTGGATCATGATGGTGAGCTGTGTGTTCTTGTGGATCATGTTAGTGAGCTGTGTGTTCTTGTGGATCATGATAGTGACCTGTGTGTTCTTGTGGATCATGATAGTGACCTGTGTGTTCTTGTGGATCATGATAGTGACCTGTGTGTTCTTGTGGATCATGATAGTGACCTGTGTGTTCTTGTGGATCATTATAGTAACTTGAGTGGTTTTATCGTCCTGCAGGTGTGGTTCCAGAACCGTCGTGCCAAATGGAGGAAGAGGGAGAAGGCGCTGGGTCGAGAGAGTCCCTCCTTCATGGGGGTCGACCACCCTCTGGGAGGCATGGGAGAGCTGCCCTCCCCTGGCACCACCTCCACATTCCGTCGCCGCCTCTGCTGCCGACCTCCTCCACCTCCACGCCCTCCACGCCCTGCATCTCCACCCGTTCCTCCACCCATCGCACGCCCCCGCCCTCCACCACAAGACTGCAGGGCCTCCTCCCCCGCCTCTTCACGCCCTCCTACATCACTACATGTTGCCGCCAGGCCTCCCGCTCCTGCCCCGCCACCAGCATTGCTCAGGGCATCCACCTTCCCATGATGGCCTCCAACACCGCCGCCTCCACCAGCCCCGACGCCTCCCCGCCCCACTCCCCGCCCATTACAACTCACGCGCCCACCACCACCACGGCTGCCACCACGCCCACTGGAGCCCCGGCCTCCCCGCCCACCGGCCTGCCACTAGACTGCCGCGGCGCCTCCGTCGACCTTCTACGGCTGAAGGCACGCCAACACCAGGCACTCCTGGAGCGCCTCTCTCCCCCAGTGTCCGGTGTCCACGCCTCTTCCTGAACACCCATGCCACTGCACGCCCTCTAGACCACACCACTGCAGTAGTTAGTCCTGAAGTGTATGTTTCATTACGAGGAAAGTGAAGTGTATTAGTATGTTAGCCCCAGTACACCCACTCTGCGTCCATCACTGAACTAAGTTATTGGTGAGGTGTTGTGCTCGGAGGTTCTCTGTACCAGCAGCAGCCTGTGGTGTAGGACAACACCACCCAGGTCCCGTGAGGCGAGGCGCAGCAATCCCTGGGTCCTGCTGTGAGACGAGGCGTTGTGTACTCCGGGAGACCTGCAATGTATCACAGTGTACATCCAGTACCCGCAAGCTGCGGTGGTGACGAAGAGTTGAATGTTAGGACAGTCCCAGAGTCATGCCGGCGGGATTCTCATTCACTTGGATGGTATGACCTTATCTAGTACCAGAGTTGAACATTAGTGAAGGTTCAGATGTTCAAAAGATCTGTCATGTAGCCGTCAGTGCGAGGGACTACAGGGCGTGAGATGTCCAAGGGAGACAAGGACACACCAGAGACATTCCTCTCCTGACGTAGAGGAACTTCCTCCTGACCCAACTCCGTGTTATGACCTTACTTAGTAGCAAGACCTTAACAACCAGAAGGTCAGAAGGACTCTGTAAACGTGACAAAAGACAAGGTCGTGTGGGTGTGGAGGACAACCCAGGAACAATGCGGTTTCCCTCACAGAAGGGCCTCACAGTGGCTCCCTCAAGCCGTCTCGAGTGTATCTTCCGGACTTCTGGACGATGGCAGCGGGAAGCTCTTTAATTACCTCTTTATCAACCTATCATTTAGTCAGATCAGTGGCAGCCTCACCAGCCTAACCCTGTGTTGTGTTTACAAGCGTTGTATGATACTCTTGTTCCCCTTGAATAAGGATCACTTCCCTCTGCTCTCTTAAATGTTGGTTTGGATCTCTCTCCCCCCAAAGTCGGGATTCTTTATTGACAACTATTCAGCCAATCTGGCCAATTTGTCAATAGATTAACGATTTTGAGCCTTAGAGGAGAGCAGCACGGAGACCAAATTTGTTTTTAGCGTCATGTCATTTTTGTCTTTATTGCCTCACGACCCAGAGCTCAAATTGGCCATTTAAACAACGTTTATTGACACTAGCCAGCAAACCCAGCTAATTTATGAGGCTCACGGGACATTGATGCTAATTAATTAAGGCGGTAAGGTCGTAATTGACGTGGCAGGAGTGGCGGAGAATATTAGGCCCGGTTTATTTGCCCGCTCTCAACAATACACTCACAGCCAGACCAAGTTTCCACCCCTCACCATTTTCTGGGGGATGTGTGTGTGTGTATGTATGTATGTATGTATGTATGTATGTACGTGGATCAGAGAGTCTGTATGTCTATTTCTCCGTGTCTGTTATACACATAATAATCAAGTATTATTATGATTTAGAACGAAAAAAAGACAATGAACATCCGTGATTATGTAAGAACGTTAATGGGTGAACAGGACCTCCTCCCCCCCTCCACCACCACCACCAGTTGACGCTCCAAAATGAAACTTCTTTAACTTTTCTGGTTAAAGTGAAATGAGTAATAGTGGCTCTGGGGGAGGTAGCCTGTTCAAGTTGGCGGTAAGCGGCCAATTGACCGACCCTCCGTCAACACCCGCAATGTTTGGCTTCCTGCTGGACCCGTCCCCTCCTTCCGGCCCTCCTGCTGCCTCCTGTGCTGCTGCTGTCTCCTACTCCTGCTGCTACCTACCCACTCCTGCTTGACTCCTCCTCCTCCTCCTCTTCCCCCTGCTTTCTACTGCAGGAGGACCTTACCGTTGACCTGCTATTCCGCCTCCTGCACACACTTACGCCCACTCACACATACACTCACATCCACCACCGCTACCACCAATCACCACCACCAATCACCACCACCCATCACCACCACCTATCACCACCAGTCATCACCACCACCACCCATTACCCACCACCACCCATCACCCACCACCCATCACCCACCATCACACTCCCACCACCACCGTCACCACCTCACCACTCACCATCACCCTCACCACCACCACCCCTCACCATCACCACCCTCACCCACCATCACCACCCTCACCCACCCTCACTGCCACCACCACCACCCCCATCACCCCCCACCCCACCATCACCACCACCATCACCACCACCACCACCCCCCACCATCACCACAACACCACCACCACCACCTCACCCTCACCATCACCACAACACTCACCACCACCACCCCTCATCACTACCACCCTCACCATCACTCACCACCATCACCACCACCTCACCATCACCACAACACTCACCACCACCACCCTCATCACTACCACCTCATCACCATCACCACCACCTCACCACCATCACCACCACCTCACCACCATCACCACCACCCTCACCACCACCTCACCACCACTCCCTACCACACCTCATCACTACCACCTCACCACCATCACCACCTCACCACCACCACCTCCTCACCACACCATCACACACCACCACCCTCACCACAACCACCTTCACCCACTCAATTCTCACCTCACCATCACCACCACCCTCACCACCCTCACCACCACCCTCACCACAACCACCATCACCACCACCCTCACCATCACACTCACTGCCACTGTTTAAACCTTTGAGAACAATGATTTAACCCTTTGAGGATGATGGGGTTACCCTTTAATGCCGATCGTACAACCTTTGAGGAGGAGGAGGAGGATTTAACCCTTTGATGACGATGTTTTAACCCTTCAAGTACGCTTGTTTAACCCTTTCGTCTTCAGTGTTCAAAATCGTATAGCATTATCTACCGCAGACTGTACGCAGGAGAGCCACAGAGAGAAGTTGACGCCATTAAGGTCGTCGCTGGTAGGAGAGAAAGAGTACCAGGCGATGTTGATTGCTCGCACTGGCGTTGTTTTTCCATCAAAGCAGAGAACGCCATGTGTGTGTAGGGGGGGGGGACGACTAATGAGTTGCCACACAATTTAATTTATCTCTTTTACACTAATTATGTCTGTTAATAGTAGTGTGTTGTGGTAACTGTGGTGGGTTGTGGTGACTGGTGGGTTGTGGTAACTGTGGTGGGTTGTGGTGACTGGTGGGTTGTGGTGACTGGTGGGTTGTGGTAACTGTGGTGGGTTGTGGTGACTGGTGGGTTGTGGTGACTGATGGGTTGTGGTGACTGGTGGTTTGTGGTGACTGGTAGGTTGTGGTGGATCTTGATGAGACAATTGTAAATATTTATTTTTATTACGCAAAACTTGAAGGTTCAAATCAGTGGTTCAATAGTTACGATATTTTGGAGGGTAATCTGTGTGCGTGTGTATGAGAAGAAAACGTTGCTAAAATACCGGGATTTTTACACATACACTACAAACGTCTTCTTACACACACACACACACACACACACACACACACACACACACACGTATACGTACGTTTCAAAAGCCGTATCGTGTCAACACTGAACTCCTGATGTAAACCCTCAAGGTGTACCTCCCTAGTCCACATAGTTCTCGCCTGATCACATCTTTCCTGAACCTTTTTCTTTGACCCTCCTCTTCCTCCTCTCCTTCCTTATCCTGTCCTCTAACCCTTCCCTCCTCTCTCCACTCCTCCTCCTCCCTTCCCTTCTCCCTTTCTCCCTTCTCCCTTCTCCTCCTCCCTTCTCCCTCTCTCTTCTCCCTCTCCCTCCCTCACTCTTCCCGTTGAAAAAGAGCGCAACAGGAAGCGGGCGAATGTTCGTTTGGGGTAGTTTCCCGAAAGCGATTCACGATAGGAACGCCAAGCGATTTTGGCTGCTCATACTGGCGTTGGTTTTCCAGGGGGAGTGGTTCTTAGTGTTGTGCTGTGAGAGGTGTCTTACCTGCTCTCCGGTCGATGTTAATTAACCTCACCTGTGTCAAGGTCTTGGTGCAACAACCTAGTGCTTATCATCTGTACTATGTAAACTGGTGATCAGCTGTAACTTGTAAACAACTGATCAACTATACCTTGTAAACAAACAACCAGCTGTACCATGTAAACAAACAAGTAGCTGTACCAAGTAACAAACAGATGTACCGTGTAAACAAACTTCCTCTCAGCGTCATCATTCTCAGTAACTCGTAAGGTAAATTTTTCCCCTTTCCCTGGTGATAAGTGATCGCATCTCACTACATCGAGTCTTGGTGCGATTTCGGCGCCTTTTTTGTGTTGTAGTTGATTAGATGGGTTCTCATATCTGCACTTGAGGGGAAAAATTCATACTACGGAACCTTTCAGACTCTCGACCTGAACATCAGATCTTTAATTGGGGGGAAAACATCACAGGCTTCAGAACTCTTGAAAATCATTTGAGGAAAAAAATTATTACTAGAGAATCCGTAAGGGGAATTTTTTTACTTACGGACATTTGAGAATCTGGCGAGTGAGTTACGAATTCCTTGTGGTTGTTGCAGCAATATGGCGACACAACATGACATAGAGACATACAGAGTTAATTAAGATACTTGATGTAGCAGAACGCAGCCGCCAACCTTACACCCTCGTTATGCTAATGGTGTTCTTTGTAACATACACTTAACGATATAATTCATGTTGTTTTACCATTCACAAATCTAATCCTGCTATTTACATGTCTATAGTCGTGTTACAGTACTAAAACAAATTGTAAATATAAATAGTATTAGTGATGAAATAAAATGTCTGTTACATAATGTGGTTTCAGTGACCTGATGGTGATGTTATGAAAGTGTCGACACTTTCCCATAGTCTGGTCTTGTTAAGTCCGGGATGATTCAAGCTCCGCCTATCATATCCCAGGATGACTACTCGAGATATTATCATTGGCTAGAAATGTTGTAATCATGTATATAGGGGTTATAACAGGTGGTACTTGACTTGCCCCATTTTATCTATAGGGTAACGGTGGTGTGGTATTATCTAGGTTCACTAATACATACTCACTTCATATACGGGATCACTTGAGGATTAGACACCCCAGCATAGTTCACCTTAAGATTTACCACCCTAACCTAACCTAACCCCTGTAACGTTGGCCTTTAAGCTTAAGGTGAAATAAGATGGCGTCTAATCTTCGCGTGATAACATAAAAATACACGTAGTATAATTGGAAATAATTTAACATTATATAACTGTTAATATTGACAAATGGAAGTTAACATTAGCTTTAACAATATACAGTATATGACAGTGGAATGTTACAAGGCGGTAGACAGAACACTCACCCCCTGTCCTATTGATAGTTGGTTTGCACCAAGGATGATGTACACACGAGTGAGGAAGATGTACACACGAGTGGGGAAGATGTACACATGAGAAGGAAAAAAATACACATGAGTGTGGAAAAGTACAAATGCGTGAGGTAGGTGTACACACAAATGAGGAAGATGCACACACAAGTGAGGAAGATGTACACACACAAGTGAGGAAGATGCACACACAAGTGAGAGAGATGTACACAAGAGTGAGGAAGATGCACACACAAGTGAGGAAGATGTACGCACACGTGAGAGAGATGTACACAAGAGTGAGGAAGGGAACATTCATATCACTTTAATGAATAAGTAATTAGGAGAATATCATCACACTATATAAGAATATCGTCACACTATATAAGAATATCGTCACACTATGTAAGGAGAAAATCGTCACTATATATAAGGAGAATATCGTCACACAATATAAAGAATATCGCTACACTATATAAATAGAATATCGTTACATTATATAAGGAGAATATCGTTATGCTATATAAGGAGAATATCGTCACAATATATATGGAGAATATCGTCACACTATATAAGGATAATATCGTCACACTATGTAAGAATATCGTCACACTATATAAGAATATCATCACACTATATAAGAATATCGCCATACTATGTAAGGAGAAAATCGTCACTATATATAAGGAGAATATCGTCACACTATATAAAGAATATCGCTACACTATATAAATAGAATATCGTTACACTATATAAGGAGAATATCGTTATGCTATATAAGGAGAATATCGTCACAATTTATATGGAGAATATCGTCACACTATATAAGGATAATATCGTCACACCATATAAGAGTATCGTCACACTATATAAGGAGAATGTCACAATATATATGGAGAATATCATCACACTATATAAGGAGAATATCGTCACTATATAAGGAAAATATCGTCACACTATATAAAGAGACTATCGTCACACTATATAAGGAGAATATCGTCACGCTATATAAGTAGAATATCGTCACACTATATAAAGAGAATATCGTCACACTATATAAGGAGAATATCGTCACACTATGTGAGAATATCGTCACACTATATAAAGAGACTATCGTCACACTATATAAGGAGACTATCGTCACAGTACATAAGGAGAATATCGTCACACTATGTAAGAATATCATCACACTATATAAGGAGAATATCGTCACACTATATAAGGAGAATATCGTCACACTATATTAGGAGAATATCGTCACTCTTTATAAGAATATCGTCACACTTTATAAGAATATCGTCAC